CGCGAACCTCCCATATTAATTCTGGTTAATAAAAGTTCAACCATTGTTCATTCAAGACACGTATTCTAACATCATAGCATGCTAGTAGATAAGAAGATATGAAAATTTTATTTTGATTCGGTAATAAAGAGCTGCGCCATGAGCGCATGATACGCCCGTCACTTTTTCAAAGAATAAATTAAGTCAAGTTCCACAACTCCTCTATGTCATACAAGAAATTAATAAAAAAACTAAAGGGAGGTTATTTTAATAGATATAAACCAGCCACCAAAGATTCATGAAAACTGCTCGAATCACTTTTGAGTTATTGTCCGAAAACTGGAAAATCCCCCCTTTTCTATGAATAAAATCCCATAACTCGGAAACGTAAAATCTTGAATTTATGAAAATCGATAGGAGCTTACGTCAATAGATATAAACAATTCACCAAAGTTTCATGCACATTGGTTAAAGCGTTTTTGAGTTTTTGTCCGACATGTTGACGACAGATGGACAGACGGACACGGACGGACGGACAAGACGGACGGACAACGGTATACCATAATACCATAATACCATAATTGTATGAAAACTGTACAACACAAACTCAAAAGAGCCTTTGACCGAATAAAAAAACATAAATAACATAAAAACAATAATAACAACATCAGTACGTTTACATACTCAAAATTTGGTATTTATATGTGAAAGACTTGGTTAAACCTGTTTAAGCAAACTTGAAGTATGATAAAAATGTATCTACTAAAAAATGGAATAAGCAATAAGAAAATTTAGAATTACAGGTACAAATCATGTTGAAATTTGATATTTAAAAACTTGATAAAGAAATTTATTTTTAAAATTAGCACTAAAAATAAGAAGTATGAGCCACTTTAAACATAATAAGAAATCTAATATTAAAGATCAGTGAGATAATTAAAAACCTAAATAAAATGAAGCATGGGCGTTTAACTGTAAACAAAGCGTCTGCAGCAAGCAAAAAATAAAAATACATTTAGCGAAGCTAGACCACAGATTTGTATAAATTGAAAAATATGGTGTGCTGAGCATACATCGAAAGAGGAACCCATGTGGCAATCGCCTCTATGAGTCTCCGCTTAATAACTATGAACAGAGACGAACATAAGCAGATTTTAACTATCTGCAGGCTAAGCAACGGCAGTTCGAACCATTCCAGGACTGAAGCAAACTCTTAAAATGACGGAAAAACTATTTTCAGTCCTGAAATGGTTTGGCAAGATATTCAAGAGTGAGGCAGCTGCATATCTGAATGATCTTTTACCGTATATACTAGTTCTTACCTGTGATATGTACAGGATGTTACTATACCTAAAATTATATTTTGAGTCCTTTAGATTGACAAGGTCACTCAAACACACTGGAGCCTTAATACCGTTAAGGATTTTTTAAGTCTCAAGTGCCACTTTCCTTTGTTTCAGACACACTAGCTGTTTAAGAAGTTGTATGAACCCAACGGACACAAGCATATATTCATAACTTTTTTTTTAAAAGGGGGGGGGGGCAAAAAGGCCATGGACAGGGATAAGCTAGGATAGGTAGTCATAGTTCTTGATTACCGTTAATTTTAATTTTCATATTGTTCCAATGCATCATAACAATCCTTATTTTAAATTTGTATAATTTGGAAAGACAAATGTTTCTTCTAACTAAAAATTGGCAACATTTGCTCAATATATTATTACATGTCTTAAAGTTTATAGTACTTAAATCTAAAATTATTGTCTGACAAGTTGTCAGACTATTAATTTTCAGAAGTTTAACCCTTAGCCTAACAACAGATGTCATAACATACAAAAAAAATCGTTTTTATGTGTTTTCTTGTAATTCAGTATTTACTACATCGGGTAAAGAGATCTCCAAAGCATCACGGTTATTTATGACAGATTGTGTATAGTATATCGACTTTAAATTTAAATTTATGAAAAGAGAATATGTCTGTACATAAGGCACATTCATCATGATTACAACAATAACTCAATGATTTCCTGGTTTCGATTCCAATAGGTAGTTCTTTGAAAGGGGATTAATGTTGACAAACGGAAGTTACCGTTAGTAACTTAATGTGGGACTTACTGATATTAAAATTGAAGCCTTTCTTTCGATAACTTTACAGATACCATCACCAGACTAAGCGTTACTTAATTTAGTGGCATGTTCGTGTAATAATGAATGGTTTGGGATATATGTGACTGAATTTTGACAAAGTTAATCTTAAATTGAGTTTTACGCGGTATCGTTCTCGTTGTTCTTTGTCTTAACTTTCGCTCATGCCATGCACAATGGTTGGTTTCTTGATGTGCGTGTGTGTATCTGTTCGTTTATTTCGGGTTTGTTTTATCCTGTTTTGTTTTTTTCGTCAAGAAGGAGATGTTGGCAACCTAAAACTTAAACTGGTTCTCGGCTGACTTCTATACTTTGAGTCTAGCGTAATACAAGCGAATTCCAGTTTACCTAGAACTTCGATATTACATAGAGGCGTATTACGGGTCATTTTTTTTTTTAAATGTCGATTTTTTAAATTGCAAAATCAAATAAAACCTACAAGTTTAAACTATCCTATTTACAAGTAAAATCAAAACAAACAATACTTCTTTCAGAACATATAAAATTTGTAATCTTAATCACATCATACAAGAATATATTGAAACATTTTTTGATAGGTGGTGCAATATTTTGTCTATCCTGTTACCATATCTTAATACTGAATTTTAGCTAATAAAAAACGTAGTGACAAAATTCAAAAATTGAAGCTTGTTTTTCCTAAGCAAAAAAGTGGTTTTCAAGAACAAAAATCTATTACGTTATTGCAATTTTTAATAGTATAATGCAGTTTTCTTTTATAGATTTGTTGGTAACAGCATATGCATGATAGAAGAGCACTTCTTTTTACTTTTTCATTTTCCTCTCTCTAAACCATGTACACTGTTATACAAAAATTGTGCAATGTACAAGTTTACAGTGCTTTGTGCTTTTGAAATCATCACATAATGTGACATAATAGTTCAATATTCTTGGAGAGGATTAATTATTTTACTGTTGATCTAGTACTGGTAACAGGATAAACATGTATTTTATGTAAGCCGATTTAATTTTGTTTGGAGAAAAAATCTTTCATTTTAGAAGTATGATAAATCTACAAAAAAGTACATTTTGCAGATTTCAAGGAATTTACAAAACACGAATAAAACGGTTTGAAATATGGTAACTTGATCATGTGACTGTACGAACATATTAAATTACCACAAAAACCATAAATATCTTTTAAAAATAAATGTAAATCTGTTTAGTATTGATAAATAAGTCTAAATTGAAAACAACGTTCAAACCTATGATTGCGTTGGATAAAAACCGCAATTTTTATACATGTGCATGCAAAACAAATTTTTGGTAGAGGGGTCTAAATACACCACAAACAACATTTTCCAAAAGACCAAAAAAGTGAAAAAGTATATTAAAACAAAACGCATTTGTCTAACAGGTCGAACAACGGATGTTCTTAAACCCTGCTGACTGCCATTGACGATTGCCAAACAGTAAACGGATCACAAGATGTAACAACATGGATCTTTATTATTAATTCAATACCAAACAGAAAACTATAAATTTGCGGAAAAGATGGTATACCGCAAACATGAGGTGCAAAAACTTGTACACCATATCCGGATTTCGACAATTAATGTCTCTTCAGTGATGTTAGGAATCGAAACGGTATTTGGAAGGCCATATGTACGCATAAATCCTACAAAATTTCATTTACACACTTTTTATTGCATTTTTATCGAAAATGAAAAATTTAGCATAGGTGATCATAGGTGTACTGAAAATTCGACATTTTTTTAATGACCTTTACCACAAAACAATAACGAATTTCGAATAGACTGAAAGAAATCGTAGTACGTCAGATTTCTTTCAGTCTATTCGAAATTCGTTATTTTTTTTTAACAAAGCCTATGTCGTGTTAAAAAGTATTCAAAGTAAATGAAATCTAATGCTTTGTTATACAGAAAAGGTGAATTACATAATTATGATACGGAAATCTAAATGACCTCTACGTGACAATGACATTATTATGTAATTTTATTTACAGATGTACTATTGTAAAAAGTTCTGATCGACACATTGTAGGGATTTTGTGTCATGAATAATGCACTATATACATATGTATTTTACAAAATAGGTTAAGAAGTTTTATTGGAAGATTTTAATTTAAAACTGTTGTTAAAAAGGTCCTCTCAATCTGGTAATGAGTGACCTTTCGTAATATATATATCGATATAACTGTTAGCAAACAAGATGACCAATGTTACTAACAACAGAAAATTCCGTCAAAAAAACTTATAAAATCAATTTTAACTTTATTGATAAAAGAATCTAACTTGAAAAAAGTTCTTTTAGTAAAAAATTACTGGTAATTATATGTCTGCTACTTGTTCATATATATCCCCGTTTCCAAAGGGGGGTTTATGATAGAATTTGGTATATACCTACATAAAGTTCTTTTGAAACCACTTATATATATAAATCTAATTTACACCAAATTTTAGGTGTTCATATGGTGTTTGAAAATTATGTCGAAAATGCCCGCTTATATACAAAACTGACCGCTGTTATAAAAAGGATCTTACCTCGAAATTATGTGACAGTTCTGGTCTATAAATATCTAAATTTCTAAACATTTGACAGATACAAATATTCAGTATAGTACGTGGTAATTATACAGATTTAGTAACTCCATCTCAAATGACGAGATAGATTAGGGACAATAGATTTTTAGGGCAGTCTGAAATCCCAAAGGGTCATTTCCCCTGAGGAGTGGCATGCCAATTCTGCCACCAGTACAGTTTTCATATTTGTGAATAAAATTTCAACCACCGATCATAGTGAAGTGTGGAAGATATCACTGATTTATTGGTTGTTACGAAATTTGTTTTCGTTCTTAATTTCGCCCATAAAGCAAATATCAAAATTCCTAAACCTACCGTGGCAGCAAAATGTTCATTCATATTGATTGATTGTTCGTTGCTTAACGTCCAGTGGCAATGTTCATTAATAGTGTCAACATTGTTTTAAGTTTCAATTAAGGTTCTGCGAGATTTGCATGGTTGCTGAGATTATCGTGAACATTACGTACGCATATGTAGTATACCACGAACAGCAGCACATAATATCCAATCTCAAATGCATATATCAAAAATTGGCAATTATTCGAAAGCTCTGCAACGTAAACAAATGAGATGTTCTTGAGAAATGGTCCTCTAGCGCTAGTACCTTTCCTAATTATTTTCATATATTTTCCTATAGGGCAACCAAGAAAGTACTTGTTACTGAAATAGAAAAAAAAAGTATTGTAAAAATAATGTCTTATATAATTTGAAAACTGTTTTAGTGAAATAGTCTTAATTTGAAAATTGTTTTCGTGAACAAGTCTTAATTCGAAAATTGTTTTGTATAATAGTTTGAAAACTGTTTCTGTGCAATAGGCTTAATGGGAAATATTCTCAATCTCTTCCAGAAAAAATACATAATGTGCCTATATGGTCGCCTACGAGGAACATTGGGTTCCGTATATGGAAGAAAATGCATAAATATTTTCGAAATCGTTCGTCAATGTTGACATCTAACTATTAAGCAAATGTTGGACGACAGGCGGATCTCGGATTTCAAAGGCATTAATGATTTCACCTTCCATTTTGGGGGGACATAATAATAAATCTTATATCCGAATTTCTTTCAGGGTGACATAATAAATTACAAAGAAACGGAGCAATAGTAATATGTCACCCGACTTTTGTTCGGGGTGACATAATAAATAGAAAGAAACGTAAAATAACATTATTTCACCCGACATTTGTTCTGGGTGACATAATAATCGTGAAAAGAAGAAACGGGACAAACATAATAAGTCCTCTCTCTTCAGTTTCGGCGACTTGTAATGTTAAGAAATGAAAAAGATACAATATGTCGCCTTACCTTCGGTTTAGGCGACTTGTTAACAAGAGTAGTTCATCGACAAGTTAGCAAAAAAGCTGCCACGCAACACTACAATCACAGTTTTATCATGAGGCTTTTCACATTTTCATCTTTTAATGTTTATACTAATAGCTGTGTTTGCTACTTAAGTTTTTGACTGAATTAGTTTTTCTATCGGTGTAGCAGTTTCAAAACAGTCCTAAAATCCAGAGTGTTTTGAAACTTACGATCATAACACTCCCCTCTTGTTCCAAAACACTCACCATGGATGCAACTATTATTGCCCACTGTATTATTAAAGTGATACATGCAAATTACTAGTATATAATATAACTTCATTCCATTTAATTTTTTTTCGGGAAAAAGTGCATGTTTATTGTAAGATATATAGTACAAAATTAAGTATTTATTCCATATTCAGTTGGTACAAAAGTTAAGAATTTTTCGTCGTGTATATGGGATATATCGGGTGTTGCAAGATATGTATCTATTAAAAAGAGAATAGTTATAAACTATTATTAAAACTGAATATGAACAAATAAACGAGTGTCAGATATGTTAGTGTATTTTAAACTATTCACTTCATAGTACAACAAGTGACTGTTTGTATGTGTTGTACTGTTACACAACAGTCACATGTAGAGGGAGAGTCTGTGAGCGATCACAAACATGTTTAATACCGCTGCATTCTGTATGTCTTGTGATGTTACACAACAGTCACATGTAGAGGGAGAGTCTGTGAGCGATCACAAACATGTTTAATCCCGCTGCATTCTGTATGTGTTGTGCTGTTACACAACAGTCACATGTAGAGGGAGAGTCTGTGAGCGATCACAAACATGTTTAATCCCGCTGCATTCTGTATGTGTTGTGCTGTTACACAACAGTCACATGTAGAGGGAGAGTCTGTGAGCGATCACAAACATGTTTAATCCCGCTGCATTCTGTATGTGTTGTGATGTTACACAACAGTCACATGTAGAGGGAGAGTCTGTGAGCGATCACAAACATGCTTAATCCCGCTGCATTCTGTATGTGTTGTGATGTTACACAACAGTCACATGTAGAGGGAGAGTCTGTGAGCGATCACAAACATGATTAATCCCGCTGCATTCTGTATGTGTTGTGATGTAACACAGCAGTCACATGAAGAGGGAGAGTCTGTGAGCGATCACAAACATGTTTAATCCCGCTGCATTCTGTATGTGTTGTGCTGTTACACAACAGTTACATGTAGAGGGAGAGTCTGTGAGTGATCACAAACATGTTTAATCCCGCTGCATTCTGTATGTGTTGTGATGTTACACAACAGTCACATGTAGAGGGAGAGTCTGTGAGCGATCACAAACATGTTTAATCCCGCTGCATTCTGTATGTGTTGTGATGTTACACAACAGTCACATGTAGAGGGAGAGTCTGTGAGTGATCACAAACATGTTTAATCCCGCTGCATTCTGTATGTGTTGTGATGTTACACAACAGGGAGAGTCTGTGAGGGATCACAAACATGTTTAATCCCGCTGCATTCTGTATGTGTTGTGATGTTACACAACAGTCACATGTAGAGGGAGAGTCTGTGAGAGATCACAAAGTTTAACATGTTTAATCTCGCTGCATTCTGTAAGTGTTGTGATGTTACACAACAGTCACATGTAGAAGGAGAGTCTGTGAGTGATCACAAACATGTTTAATCCCGATGCATTCTGTATGTGTTGTGCTGTTACACAACAGTTACATGTAGAGTGAGAGTCTGTGAGCGATCACAAAGTTTAACATGTTTAATCCCGCTACATTCTGTATGTGCCTGTCCCCAAGTCGAGAGTCTGGTATGTAGTGGTTTTTGTTGATTGCTGTCTGTCATGTGATCTCAAATCAGGCTGTTGATTTTCCCGTTTGAAATGTTTCACATTTGGTTATTTCGGGGCTTTTTATAACTGTATGGTTTTTGCTCGTTGTTGAAGGCAATACGCTGACATATAGTTGCTTACTGATAATCATACCACATATTCTAATTTTTATGAAGAGGTTCATAACACTCTAGAATTTTACCGTCATCTAGGTTGATAACACTGTGCAGTGGTTTGAACCTATAGCTAGGTTTAGAACATTCTATCTAGAATGTTGTTAAACTGGGTAGTGTTATGAAACTTCTACACTGGGTGTAAATGTCACTAAACTGTACCCCAGTAGTCCTTATTAGTGCAAACGCTTTGATTTTCAGTGGCAGTCTAAATTTATCATTGTGCTCCTCTTTCCTTCACCATCACTTGCTTACTAACTTACATCAGTTCTGCTAGTATGACACTACTTATTAAGTAGTTATATTCTGTCATCCATCAACAAATAAAACAAATTCCCACCATTAACAATTCCATACCAATTTTCAATGTCATTCGTAAGGACTGTTAGAAGGCAATCAATTAAATTAAAATTAAAACAGTAGTTTAACTATTGAACACGTGTTTGGTAATGAAAATGTGACAAACCTTAAATTTGTAAATATCGTCCTGCACTTTTATCTAACTTCCTCTTTACAAATATTTTAAATTAAAACGTTCCTGGATCGTGATATCATAATAAAAACTAAGTTAAGTAGTTGTCAACTTGTATCTTGATCTGACGGGAATAACTTTTAAATTAAATGAAACTTCAGAAACAGAAACTCATGTAAATATTTAATTATAGGATCCGTTTAGATAGTGAAAAATAAAAACAGACTATAATTTTGTCTATTTGCCCTGAGACTACTATAACACAGTTATAGTAGTCTCAGATTTGCCGGAGTTATCTGTGGACGGTGACAACAATTGAGCAGCTGTGTTACTTTCCCTGGAAATTAGGATTTTTTTTTATTTCTTTTAGCTCGATCTACTTTGAAATATTTTACAAATTTATAACATATATCAAAGGTAGCTTATATGTAAAAATGTTTCACCAGTACCCAACAAAAAACAGTTTATTTTTATTTTTGGAAAAACATGGATACCACTTTTAAAATTTTGCACGCCAGACGCGTGTTTCGTCTACAAAAACATGGTTCTGGCAGAGAACAACCTCCACAAAACACTTCAACATTTAGTCTTTGTGTGCTCTATAGACTAAACGACCCATTCTTTTTCAATCCCCCAAGTTTTTTCTTAATTTAACACGACCCAGAGATTCCTAAACTCATTGAGAGAAAGCATGTTGATTTGTATCATACTGCCGTGCAACAAGACTGCTGGAAAACAGGGTGAGGTGGTTCGATTGAATGCATGGCAACATTCTGTACGAACTGCGGGGAAGGTTGAAGTCCGGGTGGCCGAATCCCACATACCGCATCGCGACGATACGCTGCCAACAGTTGCGCAATGTAAAGACCACTTTCGGCAATTTTTTTTGCCATATATTTTGTTATGATTTTTTTAATAACAATCCCTTGGAGTGTTGCATATCTTTCGTTTGTTTGTTTGACAGAAACAGTATTTCTGATTAGTGATTCTGTACTCAAGAAAAATTTTTCTGACATCTCTGATGCTGATGGTTTTGCAAAGTTTAGAATAGACTGCAATATTTTTACATCCTCAGAAGCATTGTGGGCCTGGTATTGTTTTTGTAGTAAATTTTCAGCCAAAAATTCCTGCTTGTGACACTTCAGATCTGGATACTTTTTCATGAAGAAAGACAGTGTATAAATGCCGATAACTCTCTTTTGAAATGATGTACTCAAATTATATTGTGAAAGAGATTTAAGTAGTCTTGGAGCATCAAAACGACGGCAATTATGACAAAATAAAGTAATCAGAGAGGGGAATTTCTCGAGCCAGCATATAAGATTTTGAAATGCTTTTTCTGGAATGCATTGATCTACCCGCTGACCATAATACATTTATACAAGTATGTTGTTCCATACCGAAAGTCCTGTAACCGATGATACCTGTCTACTTATACACTGCGATGGGGTTATGTACTGATTTAAATTCCGAAGACTTTTCAATAGCTGAAATTTGAATGATATCACAATGATCATTTGCTAGCGATTTTCGGTTTCTAAGTCAAAGTAAACATATCGCAATTGTCATATTATCAATATTGACGTCAAATGTGTCTAACGAAGGGGCTGTAACTGGATCGGATATAAAATCAATGTCTATTAGGGTTGGGTTTTCTAAATCAGTAGATTTTTTGATAGTATTATACAAATGCTGAAATCAATATGGCAATATTTAAACATGAAAACTATGCAAAACATTCAAAGTCAATGAACCTTAATTGAAGGAATCCATGACAAATCGCCCCACTTTTTCACCAACTCGCCCCACTTCCAAAAAAATCGCCCCACTCTTGTTTACCAACTCGCCCCACTTATGAAAAGGGTAAAATCCCATTGAAAATAGGTTGGATAACATGCCCCACTCATGAAAAGGGTTAAAATCCCGCTGAAATAAGGTCTGCCAACTCGCCCCACTCATGACAAATAGATAAACCACATTGAATTTAGTAGATATGGCACAAAATGTGCACCTGAATATAGGTATCTTGTTTTGTTACCCCCATTGAAGCAATGGTTACATTGGTTACATTGGTTACACACATGGACCTTTACGAAATGACATGCAATACCGGCTTTATAATTGACCATTTCTGCTGCAAACTGAATAGGTAGGGGTAGAGCTATTGCAATGATTACATACACATTGAAGTTAGGTTACAATGGTTACATGCATGTGGAAGTCAGGTTACAATGATAAAATACATATGGTTTGGGGATAACAATGGTTACATAAATGGGAAATGATGGTAACAATGGTTACATGCATGGAGAAGTCGGGTTACAATGGTTACATGCATGGAGAATGAGGGTTACAATGGTTACATACATGGAGAATGAGGGTTACAATGGTTACATACATGGGGAAGTCAGGTTACAATGGTTACATACATGGAGAATGAGGGTTACAATGGTTACATACATGGGGAAGTCAGGTTACAATGGTTACATACATGGGAAAGTCAGGTTACAATGGTTACATACATGGAGAATGAGGGTTACAATGGTTACATACATGGGGAAGTCAGGTTACAATGGTCACATACATGGAGAATGAGGGTTACAATGGTTACATACATGGGGAAGTCAGGTTACAATGGTTACATACATGGGGAAGTCAGGTTACAATGGTTACATACATGGAGAATGAGGGTTACAATGGTTACATACATGGGGAAGTCAGGTTACAATGGTTACATGCATGGGGAAGTCAGGTTACAATGGTCACATACATGGAGAATGAGGGTTACAATGGTTACATACATGGGGAAGTCAGGTTACAATGGTTACATACATGGGGAAGTCAGGTTACAATGGTTACATACATGGAGAATGAGGGTTACAATGGTTACATACATGGGGAAGTCAGGTTACAATGGTTACATACATGGAGAATGAGGGTTACAATGGTTACATACATGGGGAAGTCAGGTTACAATGGTTACATACATGGAGAATGAGGGTTACAATGGTTACATACATGGAGAATGAGGGTTACAATGGTTACATACATGGGGAAGTCAGGTTACAATGGTTACATACATGGGGAAGTCAGGTTACAATGGTTACATACATGGAGAATGAGGGTTACAATGGTTACATACATGGGGAAGTCAGGTTACAATGGTCACATACATGGAGAATGAGGGTTACAATGGTTACATACATGGGGAAGTCAGGTTACAATGGTTACATACATGGGGAAGTCAGGTTACAATGGTTACATACATGGAGAATGAGGGTTACAATGGTTACATACATGGGGAAGTCAGGTTACAATGGTTACATGCATGGGGAAGTCAGGTTACAATGGTCACATACATGGAGAATGAGGGTTACAATGGTTACATACATGGGGAAGTCAGGTTACAATGGTTACATACATGGGGAAGTCAGGTTACAATGGTTACATACATGGAGAATGAGGGTTACAATGGTTACATACATGGGGAAGTCAGGTTACAATGGTTACATACATGGAGAATGAGGGTTACAATGGTTACATACATGGGGAAGTCAGGTTACAATGGTTACATACATGGAGAATGAGGGTTACAATGGTTACATACATGGGGAAGTCAGGTTACAATGGTTACATACATGGAGAATGAGGGTTACAATGGTTACATACATGGGGAAGTCAGGTTACAATGGTTACATACATGGGGAAGTCAGGTTACAATGGTTACATACATGGAGAATGAGGGTTACAATGGTTACATACATGGGGAAGTCAGGTTACAATGGTCACATACATGGAGAATGAGGGTTACAATGGTTACATACATGGGGAAGTCAGGTTACAATGGTTACATACATGGGGAAGTCAGGTTACAATGGTTACATACATGGAGAATGAGGGTTACAATGGTTACATACATGGGGAAGTCAGGTTACAATGGTTACATGCATGGGGAAGTCAGGTTACAATGGTCACATACATGGAGAATGAGGGTTACAATGGTTACATACATGGGGAAGTCAGGTTACAATGGTTACATACATGGGGAAGTCAGGTTACAATGGTTACATACATGGAGAATGAGGGTTACAATGGTTACATACATGGGGAAGTCAGGTTACAATGGTTACATGCATGGGGAAGTCAGGTTACAATGGTCACATACATGGAGAATGAGGGTTACAATGGTTACATACATGGGGAAGTCAGGTTACAATGGTTACATACATGGGGAAGTCAGGTTACAATGGTTACATACATGGAGAATGAGGGTTACAATGGTTACATACATGGGGAAGTCAGGTTACAATGGTTACATACATGGGGAAGTCAGGTTACAATGGTTACATACATGGGGAAATTGGGTTACAATAGTTACATGCATGGGAAATCAGGTTACAATGGTTACATGCATGGGAAAGTCAGGTTACAATGGTCACATACATGGGGAAGTCAGGTTACAATGGTTACATACATGGGGAAATTGGGTTACAATAGTTACATGCATGGGAAATCAGGTTACAATGGTTACATGCATGGGAAAGTCAGGTTACAATGGTCACATACATGGAGAATGAGGGTTACAATGGTTACATACATGGGGAAGTCAGGTTACAATGGTTACATACATGGGGAAGTCAGGTTACAATGGTTACATACATGGGGAAATTGGGTTACAATAGTTACATGCATGGGAAATCAGGTTACAATGGTTACATGCATGGGAAAGTCAGGTTACAATGGTCACATACATGGGGAAGTCAGGTTACAATGGTTACATACATGGGGAAATTGGGTTACAATAGTTACATGCATGGGAAATCAGGTTACAATGGTTACATGCATGGGAAAGTCAGGTTACAATGGTCACATACATGGAGAATGAGGGTTACAATGGTTACATACATGGGGAAGTCAGGTTACAATGGTTACATACATGGGGAAGTCAGGTTACAATGGTTACATACATGGGGAAGTC